AGAGGAACATCCAGTACCCATACCATATGGGCTCCCATATGGGATATGAGCACCAAAGCCAAGATTTAGTCCACTGTTAAAAAATATTTTCATAGCTTTTGCCCATTGTTAAAGAAAATAAATTATTTTTCTATGAATATAATACAGATAGGCTAAAAACCTGGATGAAGTAGAACTGTGCTTGTAACTAGCACTTTTAATAAAGAATGATGTTGGAGCTAGCACTGTTGTACAACAGATAAACCTTCAGTTATATTTCTGGCACCCCATGTCAGAGTGCTATTCAAGTCCCAGCTACTCCTCTTCAAATCCACCTTCCTACTAATGCCTAGAGAAGCAGCAAATGCTGAGCCAGTGTCTAGGGAACTCAGCCACCCATGTGGGAGACCTGAATGGAGTCTTGGCTCCCAGTTTCATCCTAATTAACCCTGGTTATTGAAGCTAATTTGGGAAAAAACAAGCAGATGAATGATAGATCTCTCTGTCTTTGTCTCTGTTTCACTCTTTCTCTAACTGTACTGTGTGTGTCTCTTTCTCTTCCTGCATTTCAAATAAATACATAATCACAATTAAGATATAATTTTAATAGCATTGATAATTATCAGTAATAGCATTGATAAATTCTACTGCAAAGCTGAAAAGAATTCCCTTCTCTTACCAATGTGTCTAATCATGCCACTTATTTCTGGTAAGAAAGCAATCAAATAGGGAAGGCACATGAGGAATACTGCAAAATGAAAATTGTATCCTAAGAATATTATGGGCATGGAATAATGTATTCCCACACAAAAGAATCTCTCATCAGATCTCAGGATTAGTTTCAAAACTTGAAGATGAAATAATTGGAAGCTGATTGAAATTAGTTAGATTACAAAAGTCACAGACCTGCACTACCAAGAATGTTGAAACTCAGCCTAGATTTATTGACCTAAGACTGACATCAGTCAGTGAGGGAGATAGCTTTTGCCAAACCCCATGTTAGGCGATCATCTAGGGAGATCTTTATCTTCCAATCTTCCATATGCTCAAGGAAAGTGAGATAGAAAGGCAATAATGTGACTTGGCTTGACTGCAACAATCAATTTCTGATCCCTTATCCTTCCTGCTGTCTACCTATCTAGAATCAATATCCTCTTCTACCTTTAAATCCACAGACTTCTCTTGGGAGAGTCTTTGTCACATTGGTAAACTCTCAAATCTCTGAACTAGCTCTCCAATTTAGTCAAAGTCAACAGCCCCAAGCCTTTTACGGCATGAGATCTGCCCAAAGAGGAACATACTCTGCTTTCATTTACATAAAGTAAATGATGAGTTGACCCAGTCACAGTAAGCCCACATACCCACATGTAGCCACGGGTCACCAAAGATCTGACTTTAACTCTTCACTCTTCTGCAAATCAAGATGCTGCGCTAGGTAGTTGGAAATGTAAGAAAAGGAACACTTGAGCCTCAGATGTGCCCAATCTGTCCCAGAGAAAAAAAATCAACATGTGCATCCTGTCTGCTAATCATCCATCTTCAATGAATCCAGAGCTTTCATAACAAGGGAAACCGAAATGATAATTCAGTGGCAAACGTGTCAATGGGAAAGGAAAGGGGACACATCTGTTTCTGTCTTCCTGAAATTGGCTACGAGTCCACTGGCTCTCCCAAAAGATCTCATAGCCTCCTTGAAGGTCCCAGGTCTCACAGCTGCTTAAACTGCTCCTTCCTGAACCTACCAGCCCCAGCAAAGACCCTACTTCATGGGGAAAAATATCAGCACAGCAAGGACATAGAAATAGAGCCTCATTTACCCCAGTGCCTTCAACATAGACCATGTGTCTCTAAAGTGCGTTCCAGGACTCTTTTCCTGCGCACACTGTGGTGGATACCATGATGTTGAGAGCAGAAGTCAAAGTTACATAGACTTGTCCCATCCCTTATTTTGCATTAGACTGTCTCTTGACACCAATCAGGAGCCACCAGGCCCATTGGAGGCAGGATCATTAAAGAAGTTCAAACAAAGACATCTAGAGACCAATTTCCCTCTAGAATCCCTGGTGGCTGTTAATTGGCATTGTTGGAAATAGAGAAGTATTTCACAAGCATCACTGTATCCTCTGAATATGTTGGCAAATACAGTAATGTGAACTCCTTCTGTCTGAGTTATCCCTCATGAAAATATTTGGGGTAGAGTGCATGAAGTATGTTATGTTACTAATCTGGTGGTGGGTAGATCACATGGGAACACAGAACCCCTCCTGGCAATATGACATGGTATACCCCTAACTCTGCAACAGCAGTGCCAAGTCAGATAAAACCCATTCTTCCATTCAATTATTTTTATAGCCATTGTTCCCACTAAACTAGGGTCTTTTCACTTTTTATTGTTAAACTTCTTATTCAGTGAAGTATTAAGCCTTTTTTTAAAAAAAGATTGTATTTATTTATTTGAGAGGCAGAGTTACAGACAGTGAGAGGGAGAGACAGAGATAAATGCCCTCCATCTGCTGGTCCAAAGCCAGGAGCCAGGAGCTTGTAAGCCTTTTCACTGCAGTGTGGAGATGAAATACAAAAAAACTAAGAAAAACACAGAGGGGTAGAGAGGGAGCAAGGAACGCAGGAGGAAGGGGCTATTTTGTGCTCTTGGACTTGTATCTACAAGTCATACTGACCCATTAAAGCTGCAATTAAAACATAATAACCAAAATAAATGTCCAGGTTTTACTAAAAATCATTTGTTATACAAAAACTAAAAAGTGCCAATTTGAATTTTAAAAGGCATGCAACAGATATCAGCATTAAGGTGAATAGATTTGAATGACACAGCCAACAGTTTAAAGCAGGCATCATGAAAATGCTTCAACCAGCATTACACACGTGTTTGCAATTAGTTTTGAAAAATAGAAAGTAAAAAAAATAGGTTAAGCCATGAAACTGGAGACACAAAGAAGTATCAAAGAAATATTTTGGAGCTGAGAATGCAGAAACTGAAGATTTAGGATTCAGTGATGAGCTCAACAGCAGAAGGATGGTGCAGAGGAAAACATTAGTGAACTGTAATATAGGACAAAATGAATCACCACCTCATCAGAAGAAAGTAGAGTGATACAAAGTGAGCAGAGCCTCGTGCATCCTTGAGACAGTGGAACAGATCACTCGTTTCTCTGGAGTCCTGTGTACAGCAGAAAGAGGGGACAGTGGTTGCCACATCTGGAAAAAAGCACACCCTATAGACTCAAGGAGAAAGATGAATTCCAAATAGGGTCAACTCAGTAAATCCACACCCAGGAATAGTGTAGGCAAACTTCTGGTATTGAGAGACAAAGATAAAGATGGGAAAGCAGAAATAGAGAAATAGTATAGTACCCAGGAGGAAAAACAACTAAATGAGAGTGCATTTCTCATCAGAGCATAGGAAGAAATGACACAGTATCTTTCACGTGGTCAAGTACTTTCTGTATCAGAACTCTAATAAAGAGAAAATAAAGGCATTTTCAGATGAAAGAAAGCAATTTATCACAAGAGTATCCTTCCTAAAAGAAGGTTCAAGTGAAGCTCTCTGAACAGAAAGTAAATGATCTCTAGGGGAATTGATAAGAGTGCCGTACTAGCAGATACACTGACAAGTGTTTCAGATGAATCAAACTGGGAGTCTAAAAGAAACAAGTTCATGACACTGCAAGGTGAAGGCAAGAAAAACAATACAGGAAACTGAAAAGCAGAAAACAAAAAAAATAGTTAAAGCATAAACCTTCAAACTATATGATTACATTATCTGTGAATGGTTAGATATACCAATTAAAACAAGTTGAATAAATGGATTAAGAAACTTAGAACAACTATGTGATGTCTACAGAGTCGTTGAATATAAAATAATTGCAACTTGAAAGTTATTGCCTGAAAAAATATCAAAATAGAAGTGTAGGAGGACCTAGGAGGCAACGAGAAATGTGTTCTGCTGATGGGAATGTTCTTCTACTTTATGTTCCCACATTAATGTGGTGTGAAGACAAAGAGGGCAGATTCAAGGTCGTTCGTAGGTAGAGTTCCACCACCCTCCTTCCTGTCCCCCTGCTTTCTCTCTTCCTTCCTTCCTTTCTTTCTCTTTTTCTCTTTCTTTCTTTCTGCGAGAACATATTTTTATATATTACAGTCAAAGCCTTAATGCTCCATTAGATGAAGAATTCAACAATAAACAAGTTCAGTGGGAATATAGGTAAGGACTACAAAATAATCAACTGAAAAGATGACCATTTGACCCTTATCCAATAAATGTTAGTATAATCAGAAATCATAGTACACTCTACTATACTATAGCAGTAGAACATCCTTAACCATTGGTTTGACAAATTTGTAAAACAACATTTGACAAAGCTGTATTTGCTGCAATACTGATACACACAGGCATTTGCTTTTTTTCTTCTTTGTTTTTCTTTTTGATTTCTATATTTTTTGAACTTTTATTTAGTAAAAATATAAATTTCCAAAGTACAGTTTATGGATCACAATGGCTCCCCCCCCAATAACTTCCCTCCCACCAGCATCCCTCCCATCTCCCACTCCCTCTCCCATTCCACTCACATCAAGATTCATTTTCAATTATCTTTATATACAGAAGATCGATTTAGTATATATTAAGTAAAGATTTAATCAGTTTGCACTCACATAGAACATAAAGTGTAAAATACTGTTTCAGTACTAGTTATAGCATTAATTTACATTGGACAACACATTAAGGACAGAGATCCTACATGAGGAGTAAGTACGCAGTGACTCCTGTTGTTGACTTAAACAATTCGACACTCTTGTTTATGGCATCAGTAACCTCCCTAGGCTCTAGTCATGAGTTGCCAAGGGTATGGAAGCCTTTTGAGTTCGCCAACACCAATCTTATTTAGACAAGGCCATGGTCAAAGTGGAAGTTCTCTCCTCCCTTCAGAGAAAGGTACCTCCTTCTTTGATGGCCTGTTCTTTCCACTGGGATCTCACTAGCAGAGATCTTTCAATTAGGGTGGTGGTTTTTTTTTTTTTTTTTTTTTTTTTTTGCCAGAGAGTCTTGGCTTTCCATGCCTAAAATACTCTCATGGGCTCTTCAGCCAGATCCAAATGCCTTAAGGGCTGATTCCAAGGCCAGAGTGCTGTTTAGGACATCTGCCATTCTATGAGTCTTCTGTGTATCCCACTTCCCATGTTGGATCTTTCTCTCCATTTTTTATTCTATCAGTTAGTATTAGCAGACCCTAGTCTTGTTTGTGTGATCCCTTTGACTCTTAGACCTATCATTATGATCAATTGTGAACTGAAATTGATCACTGGGACTAGTGAGATGGAATTGGTACATGCAACCTTGATGGGATTGTATTGGAATCCGCTGGCACATTTCAATCTCCACCATTTGGGGCAAGTCCAATTGAGCATGTCCCAAATTGTACATCTCCTCCCTCTCTTATTCCCACTCTTATATTCAACAGGGATCACTTTTCAGTTAAATTTAAACACCTAAGAATAATCGTGTGTTAATTACAGAGTCCAAGCAATAGTATTAAGTACAACAACAAAAAATACTAAAAGGGATAAAGTATTAAATTGTACATCAACAGTCAGGACAAGGGCTGATCAAGTCACTGTTTCTCATAGTATCCCTTTCACTTCAACAGGTTTCCTTTATGGTGCTTGGTTAGCTGTCACGGATCAGGGAGAACATATGATATTTGTCCCTTTGGGACTGGCTTAATTCACTCAGCATGATGTTTTCCAGATTTCTATATATTTTTTTTTAAATTTTAGCTCCCGCATATAAGGGAAAACTTGTGGAAAATGTATTTTTGTGTCTGATTTAACATGATGTCCTCTAGTTGCATCCATTGTGATACAAAACAGAGAATTCCATTCTCTTTATAGCTGAATAATATAATATTGAGTATGCATTTATATATTTTCATTATTCATTTATCTGATGATGGACAGCTTGGTTGATTCCATATTTTGACTACTGAGAATACTGTTACTATAAACATTGTGGTGCAAGTATCTCTTTGATACAACCTATTGGTGTCTTTTGTGCACATACCCAGTAGTGGAATTGCTGGATCATACAGGAAGTCTATTTCAACTTTTTAAAATGATCTCCATTCTGTTTTCCACAGTGGATGTACTAATTTACATTCCCACCAAGAGTGAGTGTGTAAGCATTCCCCCTTCTCCACATCCTCACCTGCATTAGTTACTCTGTCAATCAATTAGATGATTTATTTATTTATTTATTTATTCAATTTTTTTTGACAGGCAGAGTGGACAGTGAGAGAGAGAGACAGAGAGAAAGGTCTTCCTTTGCTGTTGGTTCACCCTGCAATGGCAACTGCGGCTGGCACGCTGCAGCCGGTGTACCACGCTGATCCGAAGGCAAGAGCCAGGTGCTTCTCCTGGTCTCCCATGGGGTGCAGGGCCCAAGCACTTGGGCCATCCTCCACTGCACTCCCTGGCCACAGCAGAGAGCTGGTCTGGAAGAGGGGCAACCAGGACAGAATCTGGCGCCCCTACCGGGACTAGAACCCGGTGTGCCGGCGCCGCAAGGCGGAGGATTAGCCTAGTGAGCCGCGGCGCCGGCCTGGATGATTTTCTTATAACTGGGTACATGTTGAAATATGAGAACAAGATATTGTTAAAACTGGCCTTTTCTGATGTCACTGCTTGCATTGTATCAGGACTTATACATCCTTCATGGGTGAAAAAAAATAAAACATTTCACCTTCATAGCAAACTGATTTACATATGTGAAGGGAGAGAGGGGTCATCAGTTCTTAGATCATCAATTATCCATCTACATTTGGAAAAGCCCAGGAGTGTTCGCCATCAAAAAATACTAACAGGCATACTGAGGTACATTTTTTCCAGGCAGTTGGTTGAGATTTTTTATTATGTATATATTTTGAATTTTACCAACATATTTTTCTATAGCTAGTGAGATGATCATCTGATCTTTGTTAATGTGGTATGTCACAAGTACTGATTTGTGCATGTGAAATATCTTGGAGTGAAACCTGCTTGATCTTGGTAAATGACCCTTTAATGTGCTGATGAACTTAGTTTACTAAGAATTTTCTTCAGAAATTTATACCATGTCCAGTGTGGATATGGACCTATCATTTAATTTTGTGCTGTTCTTATCTGGTTTGATATCAAGGTAATGCTGGCCTTGCAGAATGGATTCAGAAGTCTTACTACACCATTTATTACTTTTTGGAAGAGCTTGAGAGGAGTTGTTATTAATTGTTCTTTGAGCACAAATGATTGGTACAATTCACCAGTAAAGCCACAGGTCCCACTGCACCTCATTGAGAGGTCTTTGATCACAGACTGCCTCAATCTTATACTAACATAGGATCATTCATAATTTTATTTCTTCAGATTTAGCAGAGTGGGTTATATATGTCTAGGAGTTTGTCCATTTCTTCTAGAATATCCATTTATGGTGAAAAATTGTTCACAGTAACCTATGATTTTACTTTGCAATGTTGGAATCACTTATTTTCATTCCTTTTTAAATTATACTTTTATTTATGAGAACCTTCTCTCTGTGTTTATTGTCCATCTAAATTTTATTGATTTTTCATCATTTCATACTACTAATCAGTTTTGTGGACATTTTCTGTTATTTTTTCCCACCTCTCATTTTCCAAGCTCTCACCTGTTTTCGCTCTGACATTTGTCATTTCCTTTCTTTGAATAATTTTGAGCTTGGTTTAGTCTTCTTTTTCTATTTCCTTGGGAAATAATGTTCATCCTTTTATTTGGTTTTTGTCTTTTCTTTTGATACAAATATTTCTCACTATAAAACGTCCTCTGGGAGAGGTCATTTTGGTGAAGAGTGTAAAGCCACTGCCTGCAATGGTATGCCACATGGGCACTGGTTCCTGTCCTGGCTACTCCATTTCCAGGCCATCTCCCTGTGGATGACCTGGGGAAAGCAGCAGAGGATGGCTCAAATTGTTTATCCACCCACTGGTAAACCCTCAAAAGCTCAAGCAGCTGAGGCAAGGAGAGGTTGACAATCGGAGAAGAACTCAGTCCAGGCACCCCACGTGGGTGACGGGGACACTAAGCCATCACCTGCTGTCTTCTGCCCCTCAGGAAGCAGAGTCAGAACCAAAGCTGGGACTCAGCCTGGACACTCACCAGAGATGCTGGCATCCCACGCAGGGACGTAAGCCGTGTAGCCTAAACAGCTCTGCCTGCTGATATTGGTATTCACAACACATGCCTGGGTTCTTAGGGACCAACACCCAGGGCAGAGCTATACACACTTCCAAGTAGTAAAGGCATGCAATAATCAGGCGGCAGCAGGCTGCAAGCATGGGTTGTGCAGTGCTGCACTGCCTCTGTCACAGGCGGAGCCTAGTTCTCCATTGCAGATGAGCCAGCTTGGTCCAGAGTCCAGGCTACAAGGTACCTACTGTGGGGGTGACTCCAGAGTCTGAGGTATGGGTGCGTGCAGCACAGCCATTGATCATGACCAGGGGATGCATGAGTTGTCAGTGTCAGTCTAAGTGTGGGAGTGTACAGAGACACTTTGTCTCTGGGGCTGAGGGTGTGACAATAGCTCCATTGTCCAGAGACATGACCAGTGCAGTTTAGTAAGCGAGCCTGTGTCTGGAGCAGGAGCATGCATGGAGAAGCCAGCCAAGACCCAGGGTCTGGGGCAACCACAGTGTGGAGTACGAGACAATTCCTGTCCCAGAGTTATACAACAATGGCTGCTTCTTCTGGGGTGGGTGTGTGCATCAGTCTTTCTATCGCTGGGCATCCCCAACAAGAATGCCTCTTGGTTCCCTTTGTGACTAAAGACGCCAGGGTCTTCTACAGTGCAGGCCACCAGGACCAAGCATTCCTTCCAGGTGATGGATACTGACAGCCTCAGCTTCTGACTCTCTGTCCAGCCAATTTCCTGCACATCTGATACCAGTCCACAGTGATCCATTATAATGCACTTCCCCTATGATTTGGGCCTGTGAGTGTCTTTAGATTCTTCAGTGGGCCCTGAACCGTTCTCAGGGCTGTTTTGGTTTTGGATCCTCGTATATAAAGGAGAATTGGGTGAGAAGATGAAGATGAATGTCTTCTACTCTGCCTTGCTGGTCAAGTAGGACTATTGTTTTTCTTTATAGAAAAAAAATCAAGAAGATATAAAATATCCAGAATATGTAGTTTTATTGATGTTAATAATTAATTAATTATTCAAAATTAATCCTTTATATTGTGTAGTGCATTGGCAGGTAGTACATTCAAGAGTGTTTACAATCACCACTTGAGTCTAATTCCAAACATCTTACCCCCAAAAGGAGCCCCATCGCTGCTAGTGCAGTTTGCCCCTTCCCACTTCCACTGCCCCATGATTCCTGTCCTAGATTATGCACAAAAGAATTGAAAACAGGAACTCAAATACATATCCATACATATGCACAGCAATTCTATTCACAATAAGAAACCTGGAAATAGTTCAAATGCCCACCAACGAATCAATGGACAAATTAAAGTACACCTACAGTGTACCTAATTTTGGTAAGTAAATGGTGTTAATTACCAACAATGTAGTTTTTAAACTATGTACTTCATTTATGGTGAAAAAGTCAGATGAAAACCTTGTATATTTATTCCACTTATTTTAAAGTAGGTCACCAAAGATGACCAATAATATTTTCAAGTTTTAGATATCAAAAAATCAATGAAAATTAAACTCATTTGTCAGTATGTGTAAACATTATTATTAAAACAATAAATTCACCACATGTGGGTAAAAGGAAAGTAGCCTTAACAAGAGTTACATGAAAAATTTATAGAAAAGTAGTAAACAAAACTGCATTGAAAGTTGAGTCAAATATTGTGTTCAAATTGTGACTAGCTCCCTAAAATCTTTTCATCAAGCCATTTATTATCCTCACAATCACTGAATAATATGACCAAGGATACACATGACCAATGTCATTCAACAACTGTAACATACCAACTGTAGATGCTGGGTTTTGCCTCTAATCTATCATTTCTGATCAAAGCCTTGAGTAAATAAGTTACAATTGTAACATTCATTATACTAATAAATCATTTCAGCATCCTCCCTGTGCCATGCTCAAGTCACACTTTTTTAAAAGAATCATGTCACAGAAAGCATCAGTACTGTCGCTCACAGTGGTACTAAGATGATGCCTAAAGGTGACCACCACCTGCCCTCTTACTACACAACTGACACACTTATTCATATGTGCATTTGGACAGCGTCACAGCCACAGGCAGACTTCTTCCACCTCTGATTAGATTTCCCCAATATTAAAAAATTTTTGTATGAAAGGAAACAATCTTAATTATCCAGTTCCTTACCCCATAATTCGCGATACATCTTTACTTGAGGCAATTCAGTTTCAGTGCTTTGCTTGTAAAACCAACCTGGCAAACCAGTGAAGTCAACAATGACCTTATTTCATCCAGAGGCATTTATGTGATTTCTTCATAGGGAAAACTAGAATTATAAAGATTGTATATATAAACATAATTACATAATTAATATTCATTTTATAAACAGAACACTAAAAACAATTGTATTGAGACTCTTCAATGAGTTTACAGATTGAAGGACAGTCAGATGTCAATGTGTGTGTGTCTGCGTGTGTGCATGTGGTGGTATTCACTATTCAGTATCATGATCCTGGTCACCTATCCTTGGATGAATTGATATTCCTAATACCCAGGAATTTTATTCTCTACTTCCTTACAACTACCACAAATATATACACGAAACCATAGCTTACCAGCTCTTTGATCCCACTTGCATCAAATAGATACATGTATTAAAGGGTCTTAATTAAATCAGTTATCTTAATGTTTTACAACAAATGAAAACAAGATGATGGACAATATTGTTGTCACAATATAAGAGAGACATGCAGAGTTTCAGAAAGAATTAATAGGTCAGCCCCTATTTTAAGATAAACAATCAAACATGAAAGATGTTAGTTAACGCTTACAATATTTACAAGTGTATAAAAGATTGGGTACATGGAGCAAATTCTGGATTCAATCTAGGAGAAGCTGCACCCTCCACTGAGGAGCTGTGGTTCTACTTCCCCCTGCACAGGGCACCCCTGAGAGCCTGGTGCACCTGCTTGTTGCGCAGGGTGTAGATGACAGGGTTCAGCACTGGGGTCAGCACCGTGTTCACCAGAGCAGCCTGTCTGTTGAAGTCCACCCTGCTCGTCTGCTTTGGCTTCACATAGATGAAAAGACAGCTGCTGTACATGAGAGAGAGGACGATGAGGTGAGACGAGCAGGTGGAGAAAGCTTTCTGTCGCTCCTTGGCTGATGGGAGCCTCACGATGGTGACTACGATGTTACTGTATGATATGATGGTTACAAGGAGGGGTATTGAAACAACCACAAATGCAACACTGAAGAACAGTGTTTCAGTAGATCTACTGTCAGAACAGGAAAGCTTAGCCAAAGGCCCAAAATCACAGAAGAAGTGGGGGATGACATTGGGGCCACAGAAGGACAACTGGGAAAGACGGACAATTGGAGCCACTGCGAAGACAAATCCCAAAGTGAAGCAGGCAGTGACCAGGAGGGAGCACACCCTGGGTCTCATGATGCTGGAGTAATGCAGAGGTCTGCAAATGGCCAGGTACCGATCCAGAGACAACACTCCCATAACGAAGAATGCCGTCGACCCCAGGAAAAAAAAGAAAAAAGTTTGCATGAAGCAAGCAGCAAAGGAAATCACTTGCCTCCCCGACAGGAAGATGGCCAGCAGTTTAGGAATCACCGTGGTTATGAAGAGGTTTTCCATAACGGAGAAAGTGCCGAGGAAAAAGTACATGGGTGTGTGGAGGTGATGGTCAGCCCAGATGATGCTGATGATGAGTGTGTTTCCCATGATGGAGGCCAGGTATGCCAGCAGGTGCACCAGGAACAGTATTTTCCCCAGGTGCTGGACAGCAGGGAAGCCCTCCAGGATGAACTCCTGGACCACAGTTCTGTTCCCTGCATCCCACATCACCAGCTTCTCTATTCCCTCATCAGGCCTCAGTGAGATATCTTGCCGGGTCACAGCTGCATAACGGAGAACATTATTACATTAAGCATATTCTGGCTTTATAAATTGGACTTTTTGAAGTGAAACTACTTTTTGGTTTAGTAAATTATTTATATTTTGATGTGTAATTTTTAAAATATTCTGTATAGTTCATGGATACAATTCTAAAAATATAATCATATTCCCTTTACCCCTTCCTCCCTCCTATCCTCTCTTCTTTCTTTCTTCCGTTTTTGAGATAACATTTTTTTAATTTACATTTTAAAGGACTTCGCAGCCAGCGCCACGGCTCACTAGGCTAATCCTCCGCCTAGAGGCGCCGGCACACCGGGTTCTAGTCCCGGTTGGGGCGCCGGATTCTGTCCAAGTTGCCCCTCTTCCAGGCCAGCTCTCTGCTGTGGCCAGGGAGTGCAGTGGAGGATGGCCCAGGTGCTTGGGCCCTGCACCCCATGGGAGACCAGGAAAAGCACCTGGCTCCTGGCTCCTGCCATCGGGTCAGCGTGGTGCACCGGCCGCAGCACGCCGGCCAAGGCGGCCATTGGAGGGTGAACCAACGGCAAAGGAAGATGTTTCTCTCTGTCTCTCTCTCTCACTGTCCACTCTGCCTGTCAAAAATAAATAAATAAATAAATGACTTCGCTCTTCCAAAATAAAGTTAAACAAGTAAAAAGCAAAGAGATCCTAGATCAGCAGGAAAAGAGGCTAAGGTTATTAACAGTAATTGAATGGAAATATGAACATTTTACCCATAAACAGTAAATGTCAGATTAGTCACAGATCATCAAAAATTGGTAATATAACATTCTCAACCACTGGTCTGACAAATGTATGAAACAAAGATTGACACAATTGCATTTACATCAACACTGTTGCATCCAAGTATTTTTTCCATTTTTGTTCTGTGGTTTTCTTTGCTTTTTAATTTTATCTCCCACATATGAAGGATAAAATTCAGCATTTGTTTTTCTGTGTTCAGGTTATTTAACTAACACGATGTCCTCCAGTTGCATCCATTTTGTACCAAATGGTAGAATTTCATTTCTTTTATAATGGAATAAAATTCCATTGTGTGTATCTGCCATAACAGTGAGAGAGATTTTATCCACTGCTTCACCCCCTTCCAACATGTCTAGAATAGCTGTAGCTGGGCCAGTTCCAGGTCCGGAGAAATGAGCTCAATTGGGTCTCCCATGTGAATGACAGGAACACAACTACTTGAGAGCTCACCTACTCCCTCCTAAAGTGTACATTAGCAGGGAGCTGGAGTTCAGAGTTAAGCCAGGACTTGAAGTACGAACTCCAGTATGGGAACCTGTATTCCACTACCATCTTAAGCATTAACCAAATGTTCAACCTGTAATATTTTAAAATCTTACCTTTTATATGGCTTTGACTGTTGTTAAATAAAAATAATATTTTATCTATGAATATAACACATGTAGGCTAAAAACCTAGATGAAGTAGAGGTGTGTGTATAACTAGCAGTTTTCTGCACAACAGAAAAACCTCCAATCATGTTACTGGCACCACATGTCAGAGTGCTATTCGAGTCCCAGCTGCTCCCCTTCAAATCCACCTTTCTGTTAACACCTAGGGAAGCAGCAAATAATGAAATAATTGCTGAGGAACCCAGCCAGCCTCGTGGTAACCTGAATGGAGTTCCTGGCTCCCACTTGCATCCTAATTGACCTTGGCTAGAAGCCATCTTGGACGTGAACAAGCAGATAAAGGACAGATCCCTATCTCTCTGTCTCTTTCTGTATGCCTCTCTTTCTCTGAGTGTATGTGTGTATCTCTCTCTCTCTCTCCCCCCTGCTATTCAAATACTTATTTTTAATTAAAAGATATAATTTAATAGAATTGATCATTTTTCTATAGAGTCATGAATCCAACATTTAATTTGTGACTCCTTGTCCCTCCTGATGTCTACCTATCTAGAATCAATATTCTCTTTTACCTTTAAATCCACAGACTTCTCTTGGGAGAGTCTTGTCACACTGGTCAACTCTCAGATCTCTGAACTAGCTCTCCAGTTTAGTCAAAGTCAACAGCCCCAAGCATTTTACTGCATGAGATCTGCCCAAAGAGGACCATACTCTGCTTTAGTTTACAAAAAATAAACAATGAGTTGACCCAGTCACAGTAAGCCCACATACTCACCCACATGTAGTCACAGGTAACCAATGATCTATCTTTAGTTCTTCATTCTTTTCCAAAAGCAAGATGCTGTGCTAGGTAGTTGGAAATGTTAAGGCAAGAATCATTGGAACCTCAGGTGGGACTAATCTGTGACAGATAAATTTCCACCTGTGCATCCTGTCTGCTAATCATCTGTCTTCAATGAATCTAGAGCTCTCCAAGCTAGGAGACACTGTAGTGATAATTCAGTGGCAAACATGCCATTGGGATAATGGGAGGGAGCAGATCCTTTTTCTGTTTTCCAGACAGAGCCTGTAAGTCCACTGGCTCTCACTAGGGGATCTCATAGCCTCCCAGGTCTCAGAGTTCCTAAAACTGCTCCTGCCCTGAACCTACCAGCTCCAGCAAAGATCCTACTTCATGGGAAAAAAAAAACTCAGGACAGCAAGGACTTGAGAAATACAAGTCTTCATTTAACCCAGTGCCATAAACATAGACCTGTGTCTCTAAAATGCATTCCTGGACTCCAGGCTAGCCACCCTTCACCTGTGTACACTAATGTTGAGAACATAAATCAAAGTTATATGGAGTTTTCCCATCCCTTGCTTGCATTGGACTGTCTCTTGACACCAATCAAGAGCCACCAGGCCCATTGGCTAAAGGAATAAAGCCATCTAGAGACCAATTTCTCTCTGGAATCCCTGGAGGCTATTAATTGGGCACTGTTGGAAACAGAGAAGTGTTTCACAAACATCACAGTTGACTCTCCATATGTTGGCAAATATAGAAATGTGGACTCATTCTGTCTGAGTTAACCCTCATGAAAACCTTTTATGTAGAGTACCTAAAGTACATTATGTTACTAAGCTGAAAGCCATTTTTACATTCAATGACTGTTTATAGCCATTGTTCCCACTCAAATAGGGTCGGCTCACTTTTTATTGTTAAACTTCTTAAAAAGTGAAGTACCAAGCCTTTATTGCAGTATAATCTGAAATATTATAAGAAAAAAGAGAGGTAGAGAGAGTGGAAGGAGGGAGGGATGAAGGGAGAAAGGGAATATCTTTGTGTTCTTGGACTTGTATCTGAAGTCATACCGAATTTATTAAAATTGAAATTAAAACATTAATACACCCAATAAACATTACTGAGCAAATAAATGTCCAGGTTTCATTGAAAATCACATATACAAAGAACCAAAAAGTCTCAATTTGATTTTAAAAAGACATTCATTAGATGTCAGCTTCAAGATGAAGAAATTTGAATGACACTGCCAAGAGTTTAAAGGAGGCATCACAAAAATGCTTCAACCATCATTACACACATGCTTAAAATAACATTTGAAAAATAGAAAATATAGTGAAAATATAGAGAGTTTAACTCAAGAAACTGGAGACACCAAGAAGTATCAAACAAAAATTTTTGAGCTGAAAAGTACCGTAATTGAAGATTTAAGAATTCAGTGATGAGCTCAACAGCAGAAGGATGGTACAGAGGAAAAACATTAGTGAATTGTAATATAGGACAAAATTAATCACCAAGCTCATCAGAAGAAAGTAGAGTGATAAAAAGTGAGCAAAACCTTGTGGATCTATAGACTGGGGAACAGATCACTCGTTTCTCTGGAGACCTGTGTACAGCAGAAAGAGGGGACAGTGGTTGCCACATCTGGAAAAAAGCACACCCTATAGACTCAAAGAGATAGATGAACTCCAAATAGGGTAAATCAGCAAATCCACACCCAGGCATAGTGTAGGCAAACTTCTGGTAATGGGAGACAAAGATAAAAATGTGAAAGCAGAAAAAGACGAACAATATAGTACCTATGAGAAAAAATAACTGAAGTGACAGTGAATTTCTCATAAGAGAACGCAGAAAGAAATAACACAGTATCGTTAAGTGCTAAAGAAAAGAAGTGTCAGAATACAGAATTCTAAATACCATAAAAATAAAGAGATAACAAAGGCAGCTCCAGTCCCAGAGTTATTCAACAATGGCTGCTTCTTCAGGGGTAGCTGTGTGCCTCAACATTCCTCTCTCTGGGAGTCCCCGCCAGGAATGGCTCTTGGTTTCCTCTGTGGGGAAAGATGCCAGTGTCTTCTACAGCGCAGATCACTGTGTCCGAGCGAATCCTGCCAGGTGATGGATTCGTACAACCTCAGCTTTTGTCTCTGTGCCCAGCCAGTCTCCTGGCACCGCTGATGTGCCAATATTATGCATGGTCCATTGTGAATGGCTATTTTCTTTTTTTTTTTAAATCTTTTATTTAATGAATATAAATTTCCACAGTACAGCTTATGGATTACAATGGCTTCCCCCCCCATAACGTCCCTCCCACACACAACCCTCCCCTTTCCCACTCCCTCTCTCCTTCCATTCACATCAAGATTCATTTTCGACTATCTTAATATACAGAAGATCAGCTTAGTATACATTAAGTAAGGATTTCAACAGTTTGCTCCCACACAGAAACATAAAGTGAAAAATAATAGACGATTTTTTTAATGATGCTGAAATCAGATCAGACCTATTGTCATGTTTAATCCCAGTGAGAGTCAAGTTGGGAATTGATAATTTCTTTTTTTTTTACAGAAGATCAGTTTAGTATGCATTAAGTAAAGATTTCAACCGTTTGCACCCCCATAGAACCACAAAGTGAAATATACTGTCTGAGTACTCGTTATAGCATTAAGCCTCAATGTACAGCACATTAAGGACAGAGATCCTACATGAGGAGTAAGTGCACAGTGACTCCTGTTGTTGACTTTACAAATTGACACTCCTGTCTATGGCATCAGTAATCTCCCTATGCACCAGTCATGAGTTTCCAAGGCTATGGAAGCCCCTTGAGTTCTCCGATTCTTATCTTGTTTAGACAAGGTCATAGTCAAAGTGGAGGTTCTCTCCTCCCTTCAGAGAAAGGTACCTCCTTCTTTGAAGACCTGTTCTTTCCACTGGGATCTCACTCACAGAGATCTTTTTGCCAGAGTGTCTTGGCTTTCCATGCCTGAAATACTCTCATGGGCTTTTCAGCCAGATCCGAGTGCCTTTAGGGCTGATTCTGAGGCCAGAGTGCTATTTAGGACATCCGCCATTCTATGAGTCTGCTAAGTATCTCACTTCCCATGTTGGATCACTCTCCCCTTTATTTATTCTATCGGTTAGTGTTAGCAGGTACTAGACTTGTTTATGTGCTCCCTTTGACTCTTAGTCCTTTCATTATGATCAATTGTGAACTGAAATTGATCACTTGGAATAGTGAGATGGCATTGGTACATGCCACCTTGATGGGATTGAATTGGAATCCCCTGGTATGTTTCTAACTCTACCATTTGGGGCAAGTCAGCTTGAGCATGTCCCAAATTATACATCTCTTCCCTCTCTTATTCCCACTCTTATGTTTAACAGGGATCACATTTCAGTTAATTTTCAACACTTAAGAATAACTGTGTGATAATTACAGAATTAAACCTGTCATATTAAGTAGAGCAGACAAAAAAAAATACTAAGAGGGATAATGTATTAAGTTGTTCATTAACAGTCAGGGCTATGCTGATCAAGTCACCATTTCTCATAGTGTCCATTTCACTTCAGGAGGTTAACTTTTTGGTGTTCAGTCAATTGTCACCGATCAGGGAGAACATATGGTATTTGTCCCTTTGGGACTGGCTTACTTCACTCAGCATGATGTGTTCCAGATTCCTCCATTTTGTTGCAAATGACTGGATTTCGTTGTTTCTTACTGCAGTATAGTATTCTAAAGAATACATATCCCATAATTTCTTTATCCAGTCTACCGTTGATGGGCATTTAGGTTGGTTCCAGGTCTTGGCTATTGTGAATTGTGCTGCAATAAACATTAGGGTGCAGACCGCTTTTTTGTTTGTCAGTTTAAACTCCTTTGGGTAAATTCCAAGGAGTGGGATGGCTGGGTCAAACGGTAGGGTTATATTCAGGTTTCTGAGGAATCTCCAGACTGACTTCCATAGTGGCTTGACCAGTTTGCATTCCCACCAACAGTGGGTTAGTGTCCCTTTTTCCCCACATCCTGGCCAGCATCTGTTGTTGGTAGATTTCTGAATGTGAGCCATTCTAACCGGGGTGAGGTGAAACCTCATTGTGGTTTTGATTTGCATTTCCCTGATTGCTAGCAACCTTGAAAATTTTTTCATGTGCCTGTTGGCCATTTGGATTTCCTCTTTTGAAAAATGTCTATTGAGGTCCTTGGCCCATCTCTTAAGGGGGTTGTTGGTTTTGTTTTTGTGGAGTGTTTTGATCTCTTTGTAGATTCTGGTTATTAACCCTTTATCTGTTGCATAGTTTGCAAATATTTTTTCCCATTCTGTCGGTTGTCTCTTCACTCTCCTGACTGTTTCTTTTGCAGTACAGAAACTTCTCAATTTGATGCAATCCCAATAGTTGATTTTGGCTTTGACTGCCTGTGCCTCCCGGGTCTTTTCCAGAAATTCTTTGCCTGTGCCAATATCTTGAAGGGTTTCTCCAATGTTCTCTAATAATTTAATGGTGTCAGGACGTAGATTTAGGTCTTTAATCCACGTTGAGTGGATTTTTGTGTAAGGTGTAAGGTAGGGGTCTTGCTTCATGCTTCTGCACGTGGAAATCCAGTTTTCCCAGCACCATTTATTGAATAGACTGTCCTTGCTCCAGGAATTGGTTTTAGATCCTTGATCAAATATAAGTTGGCTGTAGATGTTTGGATTGATTTCTGGTGTTTCTATTCTGTTCCATTGGTCTATCCATCTGTTTCTGTACCAGTACCATGCTGTTTTGATTACAACTGCCCTGTAGTATGTCCTGAAGTCTGGTATTGTGATGCCTCCGGCTTTGTTTTTGTTGTACAAGATTGCTTTAGCTATTTGAGGTCTCTTGTGCCTCCATATGAATTTCAGCATCATTTTTTCTAGATCTGAGAAGAATGTCTTTGGTATCCTGATTGGGATTGCATTGAATCTATAAATTGCTTTTGGGAGAATGGACATTTTGATGATGTTGATTCTTCCAATCCATGAGCATGGAAGATTTTTGTGAATGGCTATTTTCTATGATTTTGCCTGTGTGTGGCTGCAGACCCTTTAGTGGACTCTCAAGCCTTCCCAGGGATATTTTGGTTTTTGCATCCCTGTCTATATTTGCAGAAATGGGTTGGGAAAAGTGAGGACTAATTTCTTCTACTCTGCCTGGTAGGTCAAGGAATATTGTTTTATATTTATATAAGAAATCAAGAAAATAGAAAACTTTCAGGATGTGTGATTTTATTGACTGAGTTCTCATATAAAATTAATCCTTTTAAATTGAACAATTCAGTGACAGGTAGTACAGTCAAGAAGTTTTGCAGTCAGTGCTTGTATCTAATTCCAAACATTTTATCACCCCGGAAAGATGCCCTATTTCTATTCAAGTAGGTTGCTCCTCATATTGCCACTCTCTGATGATTCCTCACTCAGATTATGCCCAGAAGAAGTGAAAACAGAAACTTTAACAACAAATGCATGTCCAAATACATAAAACCTGGAAGAAGCTCCTGGCTCCTGACTTAGGATCAGCACATCTCTGGCCATGGTGGCCAATTGGGGATGGAAGACCTCTCTGTCTCTCTCTCCCTCTCCCTCTCCCTCCCTCTCTTTCTCTCTCTCTCTCTTTCTACATCTTCTCCTCTCTGTGTGTAACTGTGACTTAAAAATAAATAAACGAAAAATCTTAAGAAAAGAAAAACAATAGAAAAAACATGGAAACAGTTCAAATGTCCACCAAAAAAAATCTATGGATAAACAAATTAAAGTCTGTCTATGGGGTATCTAATTGTAAAGAATTTGTGTTCAGGCTAGTACTGTGGCATAGCAGGTTAAGCCGCCGCCTGCAGTGCCAGCATTCCATATGGGCACTAGTTCGAGACCTGGCTGGTCCACTTCTGATCCAGCTCTCTGCTATGGCCTGGGAAAGCAGTAGGAGATGACCCAAGTCCTTGGGTCCCTGCACCCATATGGGAAACCTGGAAAAAGCTCCTGGCTCCTGACTTAGGATCAGCACATCTCTGGCCATGGCGGCCAACTGGAGATGAAAGACCTCTCTCTCCTCTCTCTCCCTCTCTCTCTATCTCTGCATCTCCTTCTCTCTGTGTGTAACTGTGACTTACAAATAAATAAATAAATCTTTAAAAAAAAAAAAGAATGAAATGGGCCAGCGCTATGGCGCAGTGCATTAATGCCATGGACTCAAGCGTCAGCATCCCTTATGGGTGCCAAACCCGGCTGCTCGACGTCCCGTCCAGCTCTCTTCTGTGGCCCGGGAAAGCAGTAGAAGCTGGCCCAAGTCCTTGGGCCCCTGACCCATCTGGGAGACTGGGAAGAAGCTCCTGGCTCCTGGCTTTCAATTGGCACAGCTCCGGCTGTTGTGGCCATCTGGGGAGTGAACCATCAGATGGAAGACCTTTCTCTCTCACTCTCTCTCTCTGCCTCTCTTCTCTCTGTTTAACTCTGACTTTCAAATAAATAAATCTTTTTGAAAGAAAGAAAGAAATAAAGAAAGAGAGAGAGAGAGAATTGGTGTTAATCACTGATAATGTAATTTTTAAACTGTGTACTTTCTTCTTGTTGGAAAAAGCAAGATGAAAACATTGATATTTATCCCACTTATTTAAAAGTGAATTATCAAAGACAGTCTGCTATATTAGACCAATAATACTGTAAAATTTTAGAGATCAAAAATCAATGACAGTACAACTCATTTGTCATTCTGAGAAAAATTATTATCAAATCAATAAATTCACCACATGTGGGAAGAACAAAATAGCCTTAACAAAATCACATGGAAAATTTTACACAACTGTGTTGTTAGCTGAGTCAAGTCTAGCCTGCAGATTGTGATTATGTCAGTAATGTGACCAACGAAAACCATGATCATTGTCAGTAACCAACTTATAACAAACCAAATGCAGATACTGGGTTTTGCTTCTAATCTTATCAGTTCTGATCAAAGCCTTGAGTAACAAAGTTACAATTGTCACATTTATTCTACCAGTAAAACATCCCACCATCCTCCCTGTGCCATGCTCAACTCACACTTTTGTAAAAGTATCAAGTCACACAAAGCATCAGTACTGTCACTCACAGTGGTACTAAGATGATGCCTAAAGGTGACCACCACCTGCCCTCTTACTACACAACTGACACACTTACTCATATGTGCATTCGGACAGCGTCACAGCCACAGGCAGACTTCTTCCACCTCTGATTAGATTTCATCCAATCGTAACAATTTTGTATGGTAGGGAAAATCTTAATTATCCAGTCTGTACCCCACAGTTCGCAATACATCTTTACTTGAGGCAATTCAACTTCAGTGTTTTGCTTGTAAAACCAACCTGGCAAACCAATGAAGCCAACAATGTCTTTATTTCAACCATATTCATTTATGTGATTTCTTCCTAGGGAGAATTAGAATTATAAAGATTATATGCATGAATATATAATTATATAATTAATATTCATTTTATATACAGAAAATTAAAAATAATTGTATTGAGAATCTGCAATGAGTTTACAGATTGAAGGACAGTCAGACGTCAATGTGTGTGTGTATTGTTATTCACCACTGAATATCAAGACCCTGGTCACCTATGCTTGAATGACTTCCTATTCTCTTTTTTTTTTTTTTCTACAGGCAGAGTGGACAGTGAGAGAGAGAGACAGAGAGAAAGGTCTTCCGTTACCATTGGTTCACCCTCCAATGGCCGCCGCGGCCAGAGCTCTGAGGCCGGCGCACCACGCTGATCCGAAGGCAGGAGCCAAGTGCTTATCCTGGTCTCCCATGGGGTGCAGGGCCCAAGCACTTGGGTCATCCTCCACTGCCTTCCCGGGCCACAGCAGAGAGCTGGCCTGGAAGAGGGGCAACCGGGACCGAATCCGGCACCCCGACTGGAACTAGAACGCGATGTGCCGGCACCACAAGGCGGAGGATTAGCCTATTGAGCCATGGCGCCAGCCAACTTGCTATTCTTAATACCCAGGTATTTTATTCTCTACCTCCTTACAATTACCACAAGTAGATACACAAAACCACAGCTTGTCAGCTTTGAGATTCCACCTACATCAAATAGATTCATGTATTCAAGGGTGTTCATTAAAATCATTTATATTAATGATTTACAACAAATGAAAACAAGATGAGGGACAATATTTTGATCTCAATGTAAAGAAGATGTTCAGAGTTTTCAGAAAGGATTAACAGGTCAGCCCCTAATTTAAGATAAATAATCAAAGATGAAAAAGGTAATAAATATACAATTTAGGGGGCTGGTGTTGTGGTGTAGCAGGTAAAGCCGCCACCTGAAGAGCCGTCATCCCATATGGGTGCCAGTTCATGTCCCGGCTGCTCCACTTCCGATCCAGCTGTCTGCTATAGGCTGGGAAAGCCGAGGAAGATGGCCCAAGCCCTTGGGCCCCTGCACCCATGTGGGACACATGGAAGAAGCTCCTGGCTTGGATTGATGCAGCTGCAGCCAATTGGGAGTGAACCAGCAGATTGAGGAATTCCTCTCTCTCTCTCTCTCTCTCTCTCTCTCTCTCTCCATCTCTCCATCTCTCCTTCTCTGTGTAACTCTGACTTTCAAGCAAATAAATAGATATTGAAAAAATATGTACAAATGTGCTGAAGTTTGGGTACATGGAGGAAATTCTGGATTCAACTGTGGAAATGCTGCACCCTCCACTGAGGAGCTGTGGTTCTACTTCCCCCTGCACAGGGCACCCCTGAGAGCCTGGTGCACCTGCTGGTTGCGCAGGGTGTAGATGACAGGGTTCAGCACTGGGGTCAGCACCGTGTTCACCAGAGCAGCCTGTCTGTTGAAGTCCACCCTGCTCGTCTGCTTTGGCTTCACATAGATGAAAAGACAGCTGCTGTACATGAGAGAGAGGACGATGAGGTGAGACGAGCAGGTGGAGAAAGCTTTCTGTCGCTCCTTGGCTGATGGGAGCCTCAAGATGGTGACTACGATGTTGCTGTATGCAATGACAGTGACAAGGAGGGATATAAAGAGAACCAGAAAAGCAACATTGAAGAACAACATTTCAATAGATTTAGTATCAGAACAGGAGAGCTTAGCCAAGGGCCCAAAATCACAGAAGAAGTGGGGGATGACATTGGGGCCACAGAAGGACAACTGGGAAAGATGGACAACTGGGACCACCATGAAGAGGAATCCCAAAGTGAAGCAGGCAGTGACCAGCAGGGAACACACCCTGGGTCTCATGATGCTGGAGTAACGCAGAGGTCTGCAAATGGCCAGGTACCGATCCAGAGACAGCACTGCCATAAGGAAAAAACCAGCTGACCCCAGAGAAAGAAAGACAAAAGCTTGCGTGAAGCAGGCAGCAAAGGAAATCACTTGCCTCCCCGACAGGAAGATGGCCAGCAGTTTAGGAATCACCGTGGTTATGCAGCAGCATTCCACAAAGGAGAAAGTGCTGAGGAAGAAGTACATGGGTGTGTGGAGGCGATGGTCAGCCCAGATGATGCTGATGATGAGGGTGTTTCCCATGATGGAGGCCAGGTATGCCAGCAGGTGCACCAGGAACAGTATTTTCCCCAGGTGCTGGACAGCAGGGAAGCCCTCCAGGATGAACTCCTGGACTGCTGTCCTGTTCCCTGCATCCCACATCATCAGCTTTTTCTTTCCATCATTACTTCTCACCAAACTCTCTTGCTGTCTCAAGACTGAAGAAAGGAGAACTTTATATCATTAAACATATATGGCCTGGGTAATGGCCCTTTTTTATATGAGAATACTTTTTTAAATCTTTTTTGTTAATATTTTCATATTATCTCTTTAAAAGTGAGAAACCTCATAGCCATTGTTTCACACCCATCAACTCCCATGTTTACAACAGCTCCAACTCTGCCAATCCATAATCATGAAGTGTGAGCTGAATCCGGTGTCCCAGTTGGTGACAGGGACCCATCTAAATTACCACTCTCCTATAGGGAGGAAGCTGGAGTTAGTAATGTGGCCAGAAACTGACACAGGCACTCCTATATGGGAAGCAAGCATTCCATCTAGCATCTTATTGTATAGATTTTTCCCATTATTATACAAAAATAATTTTTATCTATGAATAAAATGAATGCAGCCCTAAAACCTGGATAAATTACAACTTTGTCTATAGCTCCAAGTCTATGTAAAAATGATGTAGGAGCTAGCACTGCTGTATGGCAGGAAAGCTTCTATATGTTGCTAGCATCTTACGTCAGAGTGCAGGTTGAAGTTCAGTATAACCAATGCCAACGCCGCCAATCCTTTTAATCTATGAGATCTACTCAAAGAGGAATCGGACTCTGCTTCATCTTACTACAATTAAATAAAAGAGATGACCCAGACACACTAAGACTACATACCCATCCACATGGAGTTCCCAGTCAACAATGCTGCACCTGTAGATCTTCACACTTCTGAAAAAAATCAAGATGCTGGGCTGGGCTCTGAGTACTGTATGAAAACAAACAAAAAGACTTGCACTGAGATGCCCCTATGCTGTCCCAGAGAGAAGTTCAATGTGTATATCATGTGAGCTCTTTATCTTCCATGAATCCAGAGCTTTCCAAATCAGGGGAGGCTGAAGTTATAACTGAGTGGCAAACGTGCCACTGAAATAAAAAAAAGGGGAGCACATCCTCTCTCCAAACTTTAGAACTTGGGTGTGAGTCCACTTGCACCACCAAAGGGATCTCATAGCCTCATTAGAGGCCCCAGGTCTCCCAGATCCCCAACATGTTCCTACTCCTGAATCAGCCGGCTCCAACAAAAGAACTTGCTTCCTGGAGAAAAATGACCCAGGATAGCAAAGGGACAAGAAATTGGCTCCTGACTTAACCTGGTGTGTTACACATAGATCATGAGTATATGTCGTGTGTTCCAGGGATTGGGTTTCCTATTCTTACCTCAGTAGACAGGAGGACACTCATGCTGTTGAGAGAAGAAATTAAAGTTATATGGAATTGTCCCATTGTTGGTTTGTCACTGGCCTGTCTCTTGACACCAATTAGGATCTACCAGGACAATTGGCCACAGACATCATTAGGAGAAGATGGAACAAAGCCATCTAGAGACCAGTGTCCCTCCAGGATCTCTGTTGGATACTAATTGGGTACTCTTGGAAATAGAAAACTTATTATACAAGCATCACATTTGCTCTTTCATTACGATTGCAAATATAATAATATGGACTTACAGATGTCTGAATTCTTCCCAGGAAAAGTCTTTGAAAGTAGGGCGCCTGTAGTTACTATAATAACAATATAGTCTATAAAGTCCCGATTGCATTATGTTACTAAGGTGGTGGTAGATAGGTCAAATAGGAAAACTGCATCCTCTCCCGGCTGCATCGAGTTGTAGCTCCCCCTAACTCTGGCAGAGCAGTGCAAAGTTAGGCTATAATTAAGAGCCAGAGTCTCATAACATTATGCCCAAAATAAATTTCCAGGTTTCATTAAAAATCGCTGTAATAACAAAAACTAAAAAAATCCTCAATTTGATTGTAAAGACATCCAAAGTATCAACATCAAGATGACATAGATACATGAATTATGTAAAAGTTCAAAGCACCTATCATAAAAATGCTTCAACAGGAATTCAAAAATGCTGAAACTAAATTCTGAAAAATGAAAATCTCAGCAATAATACAGAATGTTTCAGCCAAGAAACAGAAGACATAAAGAAGAATAAAATAAAAAATTTGGAGCTGAAAAGGACAGTAAGTGAATATTTAAGAACTCAACGATGAGTGCAACAGCAAATGGGTGGTACAGAATGGGGAATATTAGTGGATTATACGCAGAATGAAATTAATTACCAATGTCATCACCAGAAAGAGAATGATAAAATGTAAACAGACCCTAGTGGGTCTGTGGGACTATGGAAAAGATCAATCACATTTTTGAAATCCTACAAAGAGCAGAAACAAGGCAAGATTGTTACACATCTGGAAATAAACAAACCCAAGAGATTCAAGAAGATCAACGGATCCCAAATAGGATAAACTCAACAAGCTCCCTCCAGGACACAGTGTAGTTAAACTTCTAGTCATTAGAGACAAAAAAAAAACGTGAAAGCAGAGAGAAACAATATGTTACCTATGAGGAAAAATAACTCAAATGATAGTGAATTTCACATCTGACACCACAGAGGCTAGAAAGAAATAACACAATATTTTCAAGTGGTAAAGAAAAGAAATGTCAGTATATAGAATTATAAATACTTATGAGTTAAGTGAAGATAAAGACATTCTCAGATGAAGGAAAAGCAAGTATCTGTCACAAGCATAAACAAAATGCTAAGTATGAAACAAGATCCTTACCTTACAGCCTATACAATAATCAACTGACAATATTTAGGGATCTAATCTAAGATGTGAAACCAGGAAATTACTAGAGGAAAATATAGGGGAAACACTGACATAGGCAAAGACTTCTTCCATAAGACCCTAGAAGCCAAGGCAATAAAGCCCAAAATAGACAAATGAGATTACATATCTAAGAAATCTCTGCACAGCAAAGAAAAGTAAAGTACAGAGGCAACACACAGAAAGGGAAAATACTTACACAATATACATCTGATGAAGGATTAATATCCAGTATATATAAGGAGTTCAAGAAACTCAGCAACAACAAAAACAATCCGATTAAGAAATGGGCTAAGAGGGACCACTGCTGTGGCACAGCAGGTAATGCTGCTGCCTGTGGTGCCAGCATCCCATACTGGCAGCAGTTCAAGTCCCAGTGGCTCCACTTCCAAACCAGGTCCCTACTAATGCACTTGGGAAAGCAGCAGAAGATGGCCCAAGTCTTTTGACCCCTGCATCCATGTGGAGACCTGGAAGAAACTCCTGGCTCCTGGCTTCTGATCAGCCCAGCTTTGACCACTGCAGCCATTTGGGCAGTGAACCAGTGGATAGAACATTTCTCTCTCTGCCTCTCTCTCTCTCACACTCTGGCTTTCAAATAAATATATAAATAAATCTTTAAAAAAAACTTCAGCAATATTTAAAAAGAGAAATTGGCTAAGAATATGAATACGCATTTTTCAAAGAATGAAATACAAATGGCCAACAGAGGCCTGAAAACATGCTCAGGATCTGGGCGGAGCCAAGGTGGCGGAATAGAGAGGATGCACACTGATAGTCTGGGAAAAGATAGGTTAATAAAAGTGGAATTACGGTAATCTCAGGAAATGCTCAGGGAAAAAATTGCAGAGGAAACTCTTCCAGATCTAGTGGATCTGACACAGACGACCTGCAGGGAGAGCAAGGACGCCCACGGAATCTGTGCTGAAAGGGGAGGTGACCCTGTAACCCGAGACATCGGCGAGGAAACCGGCTTGAAGCCCTGCAGGGGAAAGTTCACCAGACTAACTACAGGAGAGAGGAAAAAAAAGGGGGGACCAGTAAGGTCTCTCTCTGCCCACCTCGCAAAGGCGAGCAGGAGACAAAGAGCAGGAGCCATTTTGGACTTACATAAAAGGTGTGCAGAGCGACCTCAGGGCTGTGCGCTACCTGAGAGCTGCGCCCGCCCCCAGGCAAACAGAAAAACCTGACTGGGGGGGTGAAATAACAGGAGATTAGGACTTGTGAAAGGGTGGAGCTAATGAACTGAGTGGGGGGGAAGAAATGGTGGGCGAGAGAACTCACGTGAGTACTCTTCAGAGACGCTACAATTCCGTAACCTTGGCAACCCAGCAGGAGACTGCAGGAGAATTTGAGCCCATACTGAGGGCAGAACAGATTCTTTTTGTGGTCCTGGGGAAAAAGCAGACGAATGATATACCCACAGAAGGCAGAGATTGGAAGCTGACTACCTTCAATTCCACTCAGCTGTGAGGTATTACTTCCCTCCTGAATCAAAAAAATATAAATAAATAAATAGAGAGAGAGAGAGATTTACCACGCCTAACCTGAGTGTGTCAACTTTGGCACACCCTTAGCCCTGAAGAACCAAGCAAAGCTCTCTGGCCACACCCATCTCAAGCCTCAAGCCTCTAAGGCTCCTCCAAAAGCAGAAAGTCCACTTGGAGCCACGGGACTGAGCTGCGCAAGCTGCAGGGTCTGCGCGCAAGTGCTCGAAGGGGAGTGCAACCAGCGGGGAGACTTGGGACGTCCAGGGCTCCCAGTCCACACATCGGCGCTGGAAGGGGAGCAGACCTGCGTGGAGAGCGTGGGAGCCCACAGTTCGGGACACCAGCGGCAGACTCAACACACCAGCGCTGGAACGCGAGGTGAGCCGAACCTCAATAACCCGAGACACCGGCAGGCAAGCGGAGAGAGGAGACTAGAGGGAACGACCCCCGGGGCGGGGGGGACTTCACCAAGCTAACTGGAAGAGAGAGAGAGGGAAAAAAAAAAGGTGACTGGTACGGACACGGGTTTCTCTCTCTCCGCTCACCTCTCAAGGGCGAGCAAGACAAAGAGCAGGCGCCATCTTGGACATACGTCATAAGCAGAGCGACCTCAGGTCTGCACCGGCCCTGAGCCTAGCAGTAAAACCTGACTCTGGGTGGGGCGAATTAACAGGAGATTAGGACCTAGTAAATTTGTGGTGCTACTGAACTGAGACTGTGAAAAAAGAGACGGTGGGGGAGAGAACTCACGGAATTCACGTGAGCACTCTCCAGAGACACTACAATTCCGTAACTTTGGCAACCCAGTGGGAGACTGAAGGAGAATTTGAGCCCACTCCGAGGGCCGAACAGATTCCCTGTGTGGTCCTTGGGAAAGAGCTTCTGATCTCTGGCTCCTGTGGGTATATCATTTGCCTGCTAACTACCTCCAACTTCGTTCAGCTGTGCAGAATAACTTCCCTTTTGAATCAAAAAAAGAGAGAGAGAGAG